GAAGACACATTTACTTTCCTGCCTCTTCCCATGGTCAGTGCGGCAGGGAGCATATACTTTTAGAAGTGTGTTTGTATTTACAATTTGTCCTCTTTTGGCACCTCAGATAATATATCTCCGTTTTAGAACTTCTCACACCTTGAGAACCTCACTACATGTACAAATACTTTCCTTTTGGTTATCAAAAAGCTGCATCAAAAGTTGATCTCATGATTTTAATCACTTATTTTTTACAAACTCAACATTTAGGAAAATAGGAATTTGACCAAAGTTGTTCTAAAGCAAGACCTCAAATGACTCTATAAAGTTAATGACATAAGCAACCAGTGTCCTGGCAGATAAAAGACCCTGTAGGCCAATCCCTGTGGGCCAGAGAGAAGCTGGATAAATGGTCTAGGCTGTGTGTGTAAGTGTGGACACTGACTTTTTAAAGATGTTTAATTCTGTAGGTTTTTCTTGCACACCCATCCTGTGCTTAGCATTGTGCTTGCTCTGAGTTGGGTCCTGGAGGCATGAAGATGATCCATTAGCCTTGGTCTCCCTCTTCAGAGCGGGGCTTGCCTTCTAGGGGTCAGGAAAGTGGGGCAGCCCAGGTGGAGGTGGGGGGCCTATTCCAGCTGCCCATGGCCTTAGATAACTAAGCACTGGGCTTGTTTTAGGAGCCAGGGCACCACTTGGAGTGTCAGTTTCTTTTGCACTAGGGGAAACCAGCATTCCAGAGGATACTGGAGAAGAATGGGTGCACTCCTGCTTACCCAGTTTGCCAAACCTCTGAAGATAACCTCTCTTGTCCTTAGCTGGCTTTTCTTCAAGGGGGATCTTAACCTCCACCACTGGTTTGCTTCTGCTGGAGTCTCCCTGGCCCTAGCTCCTTCCCTTTAACCCCTGCTATTCCTTTTCAGCGACCTAGGATCAGCTGCCCCCAGTCCCACCCTACCTGACTGTGCCAATGATTATCAATGTGGCAGAAATTGAAACCTTCCATATTCTGACTGCTGTAGAGCCAGGCCTTTTCCTCAAATCTCCCAATGAGAAAAGCCAACCTCCACTCTTCTCAGAATAAAAGCTTTCTCCTGTCAGCTCCTGCTGCCCTCTGCTCTCAGGAGGCTCAGTAGTAATAGGAATTAAACATCCCAGGCCTACACAGGAGTTTTTTATTCTCACTCCCTCAGTTCCATGGCCCTCACTCGTATGACTAGCTTCCTGGGCTGTCTGCCTGGGCCTGCAGGCCCATAAGCCAAGTGAGTAGGGCAGGCAGTGGGATGGAAAGTGGGGATGCAGGCCTCACTCAAGAGGCCAACATCCCTGCAATCAGAGCCTGGCTGACAAGATCCCAGACACAGAGGCCTAACCTGGAAGCCCCATAAGGGGCAAATTTATATTGTACTAACCATGCCCTCAAGCCCACAGACACACAGCCATATGAACATCAATGTGATCCCACAGAGTGGCCAAGACAGATGGGGGAGCAGCTCATACCACTAGGAAAATAAAAAGGTAATTTTAAAAACACAAAGTGTGGCCTCTTTCAAATTCCTCTCTAGCCAGTGTGTTGGTAAGGGTGTGCACACACCTGCATGTGTGTGTGAGTTATTCACTGTGTATCTATCCCTAGAGTGCTACTCAGCTCAGCAGGAGCATTTTTGTGTTTCTTGAATCACATAAGCAAGTCCCTATGCCTAGTTAGGGTCCATGGTCTCTGGAGAAGCGCAGCGAGGGGCCAGAGTTCCCAGGGCATTTCTGGAAGACAGCAAGTGGATCCTATGCCCAGGGGAGATGAAACTGGACACGGCTGATCCTTGGCAAGATATCTGAGAGAGCAAATAACTCTCCTGCCCCTTCTAGGGATGCTTCTGGTCCCAGGCTCCCACTCTGCCCTGTCACTGCTCCATCCTTGGTCTCTGATCAGGCCATAGTCCCAGGCAGGTCCCTGGTCTGGTGAATACACTCATCCTGTGTCTCACCCTGTTGAAGGCTTTGTGACTTTCAGACTGAAGCATGGCTAAATCTATCCAGGCTAATGTGTTCACAATAAAGGGAAGAAAACATTTCTCTCTATTTGTGGGGCTTTCTCTCCCTCTGGGGTACAGAATGTACATTTTAACTGGGGTAGCCTGGAGACGATGTGTCCACCTCTGCTATTGCTACCAAAGAATGCCTTTTATTTCAGTCCAGGCAGGAAAGAGGCAGTGTCATGTCAGAGGAGGGATTCTGGGGGCGGCAGAGTCAGGCAGGGCACAGAAATTGCGCCATATTGCTACCTAGCTGGGCTCTTCCCTCACACATATGGTGGAGGAAGGGAGAGGAGAGGTACTGAGATCTGGGCCCTCAGCAGGAAGGTGTCCCTCCTGTCCCACCAGCCCGGGGCTCTTCCGGGGTGGTACAGGCCAGCGGCCTGAGCACCAGAGCCTTCCCATCTTAGCGGCTCCAGCGAGTGTGGCTGCCACATGCAGGGACTGGAACCCACACGTGCACAGCTGGGGGCCATGCAGGGCAGGCAAGAGACTGACGGTGACAAAGACAGTCCCTGACGTGCCTGCCGAATGTCTGCCTTCCCCAGGACACCCGCCTCGGCGATTCTCCTGTCCATGATTCACAAACACCCTCATGCACACTGACACGCTGAAACCCTGACTGAGGTTACTGCGGACTTAAGGCTTCCGGAGAAGACGCAGGGGCAGGGCCTAGAAGGAGGGGCCGGAGGAGCCAGGGAGTCCTAGCCTTAGAGGAGGGGTAGGAGCCGTGGGTGGGGCAGGTTCCCTAAGCAGGGAGGGCGATGGGGGCTGACACTAGGGGGTGTCAGGGAGCGAGGAAACTGACCCGGCAGGATGAGGGCGTGGCGAGGGGGGCCTGGAGCTTGGCGACCCCGGGAAGGGGCTCCCGGAGGGTCTGGGGAATGAATGAGGCAACATATGGCGGCTACTGGGGATACCTGGGGCGGGGGTGCTGGGAGGGTCTGTGATCTGGGTCTGCGGAGCGGTCCGCCCTACCTGTCCGGGGAGCCGCCGTCTGGGGCCAAGGCCTCCCCCTTGGGCCGTTGCTCCCCTTCCGGACACGGGCCGGGAGCGGGGCCGCTGCCGCCGCCGCTGCTGCTGCTGCTGCTGCTGTCACCGTCCATGCCCGTAGGCGGCACCGCTGTCCCGGCGCTGGTGCTGAAGCCACGGCGGCGGCTGCGGCGGCGGCTTCGGCGGCGGCTTCGGCGGCGGCGGCGGCGGCAGCGGGCTCGTGCGCATGCTTTGGCTCCGAGCGGGCCGGTCGCTGGGCGGGGCGAGGAGGAGCCCAGCCAATGGGCTCGGCGCAGCGGCGGGAGCGGAGCGCCCTGTCTCTAAGACCGCTGGGCTGCGGCTGTGCGCGCCCCTTTGCTCCCGCCGGGCCTGAGAGTCGCTGGAGGAGTCCGGCAGCCCAACCCTTCCTAGCGGCCTCGGCCTTCCTGTAAGGAACCAGGGAGCGCGGCCCATGCAGACATCCTCACAAATCGAAACGCGGACCCTTCCATCCGGATAGAGGGCGTCTCCATGTCCGCACCAGGGCTGGACGCTCCGGGTGGAGAGGCCAGCGGCTTCAGGCCTGCGAGGCTCCCGGCTCGCTAGCGCCCTCCTCCCCTCCCCAGCGGGGCGAGGCATCAGGTTGGGTCTTTCTTCCCATCCTTCTGGACCTCAACCTGGACCTGGGTGTGCACCCCTCAGATGTGGAGCCCTGTCTCCCTTATTCAAGTGCAGAGTCTGGTGGAGGAGGGTGGAAGAAGAGAGATGCTCAGATCATCCCCAGCTCCTTCTCTTTCTAAGATTTAAAATGTTTATAAAGTGAAAAAAAAAAACAAAAAAACAGTTACAGTAAGCTAAGGTTAATTTTTGATTCAGGAGGTACATGCGCAGGTTTGTTATAAGGGTATATTGAGTGACCTCAGATCCTTTTTTATAGTCACCCCTGCCCCTCTACCTCAGCCTGGGAGGTGCCCAATAGCCACCGACTCCACCAGGGAGTAGCTGTGAGTAGAGCACATTTGGGTATGATGGACTGTGGACAGGCCTGGCTAAGGGGCCTAGATCTAGAATAGATATTGGCAGTATGAGAAGCCTGGGGTGTGGGGAGTGGAGAGGATCCCGGATGTGGGATTTGGATGGGCAGAAAGGGTTTTACAGCAAGCAGGCTGTTCAGGGCCTAGTTATATGTGCAGGAAGAGGCCTTGGTTGAAGACAGGGGGCTGAGGAGAGAGTCAGGAACACTTAAGACTATAGGTATCGCTAAAATGTGGGCCAATGCCAGCCTGTGTAAGACACAGGTCATAAGCAATGGTGTGGGAGAATCTAGAGGTGTTGAAGTGTTGGGTCTGCCCTGAATAGCCTATAGTTTGGTTGGAGAGATAAAGGGCCAGCCCATAAATTGGTGCCAACAGGCAAGATGTGGTCAGGCCCATGAGGTGATTGACACTATCTCTTCTCTGTAGCTTTGCTGCAGAGAATGGGGCAGTATGCAAAGAAAGAGGACCTCTTTCTTCCTAATAGGCCTTAGGGAAGGCTTTGTGGAGAAGGTGGGGCTTCAGCTGGCTTGGAAGAAAGACTAGGCTTTGAAATGGGGAGGCAGGAGAGAGGAAGGCTTTCCTGACCAGGGGTTGGGGCATTCTTCCTCACCTGTGCAAACAAAGGTAAGGAGGCTGGAAAGTTCAGTGTACTGATTTTCAGGGAATGGTGAGAAACCCATCTGGATTGGAGGGAGGCTTCTGGTCCGTAGAGTGAGGCATGCAAGCTGAAACCTCGGAAGGCCCACCAGATCTGGATGTACAGGATGGCATAGAGGTGATGAGGCCACACTGGAGGTCCCTCGATGGGAGGGGCCAGGAGTGAAAGGGAGAGGAGAGGTGACCTTACACAGCCATTAATAGTGAATACCATGTTGCTAAGCTTAAGAATGCCTTGCTGGTAGCCCCATCTTCACAATGAGAAAGCTCAGAGACAACTCGGCCTTCTGACAACCAGGTGGATATGAAGCAAGACAGGCTCTTTTAAGAATAGAACATGGCCTCTAGGAGGCTGTTTATTAGGAAAAGAAGATTCTGGTTCAGGTCTCCTTCCAGGTCAGCTGGGCAGTTCTCTCAGGCTTGCCATCTTGTGTCCTGTTTCAGTCTACTTCCTCAGTGATGTGGACCAGGGTGTGGGTGCCCTGGGCCATGGCCAGGGGGAGGCCCACAAGGCCCTGGGCCATGGCCAGGGGGTGGGCCACAGGGCCCTGGGCCATGACCAGGGGGTGGCCCACAAGGACCTGGGCCATGACCAGGTGGTGGCCCACAAGGCCCTGGGCCATGGCCAGGGGGAGGGCCGCAGTGACCTGGACCTGGAGGATGGCCATGGCCATGTCCCCCATGGCAGTGCCCCTGTGAAAAGTCAAATGAACAACGTCAGAGTCAGAGGTCATGGCTAAGCTTACCTAAGATCAACTCTCCATCTCCCTACCTCCCTGGGGGACTCAGGATTCCTAGGCAAGCAAGGGGTTGTGGTGGAGGGCTGGGGGCACAGATAGCAAATGACTGCTTCTAGCCCTGTGCCTTATATCTTGGTGAGGCCAGAGCACTGAGCGGATAAAAGGGGAGCAACATAGATTTATTGGTTTCTATTCTTTGAGCTGCGATATGACTCCCACTCCCTGGACCTCGATTTATTTTATTTGCAACTAAGAAACAGAATTATTTCATCTTCTCCTTTCTCTCACCCAGGAACGCTTGCAGAGTGATTAGAGGCTTTGCCATGCTAGGAACTGCAGCTCATTGTACTTAGCAAGGGTGAGGCTGGAGGAGGCTACATAAGAACTCTTTGAAGGCCAGGGACAAAGGGACACAGAAGGCTGGGTCAGGGGAGATGCAAGAGCTGAGAAGGAGAAGGAGAAGGTGAACAGTTGGAGGATGAGAGGAGACAGAGGGTAGGTATGTATTCTTTTTATAGGTTGTGTGTATCTGTGTATGTGTGTGTACAGGGCGTGTGCTGCATTTACATAAAATAGCTATGTTTGTGTACATGTGCATGGGTGGGTTCATATACAAACCTGCTATGTGTACAGATACGTGCATGGAGTGCATGGTTCTGTGTACATGAGTATGTGTGAGCTCATACCTGTTCCTGAGCAGATGCCAGACCCAAGAAATCAGGAAGAATACAAAGTAAAGCTAAAGCTTTTCTGCCTCAGCCAGAGAAGGTCTGGAAAAAGTGTGCTTTGACCTTCTATGTTGGGGGGAATCATTCCTGAAGCTCCAGGGCCAGAGGAGTTTCTTTGCCTCTTGCCACAAGCCTGGTGGGGTCTGGGGGGAGCAGGAGCAAGAGACAACACCATGCTTCTACGGTAGGGGACTGGGGGCCTGCGACCCTGTGGAGCAGGGAAGGGTTGTGCTCCCACTTTTGGGGCTGGATAACTCCCCAGTCTGCTTCTGCCTCCTAGGGTTTGATTAGGGCTTGGTACCAGTGGGGAAGAGGCAGGCTCCAGGGCTTCACGCTTTCTTGTGACCATGGTACGGTAGGCCCTGCCCCATCCAGGCTCAGTGAGGCCTGGAAACAGCCACTTCCCACCACACCCACCTTTCCACTTATGGCTCGTTTATTTGGGGGTTGGCGCACAGACCCAGGCCCAGGAACTGAGTCTGCTGGTGGTAGCCAGCGGATGAGGTGGAGGAGAGGCAGTCTCCCTTCCCTGGCAGAAGTAGGTCCTAGGGGCCCCATAGGGTGGTTGGGGTTTGGGAGCAAGCCAGCCATCCAGCGAGGCTGTGAGGGTAGCCAGGCAAGCAGAAAAGCATAGAACAGGCGGGGAAGCAGCAGGAGAGAGGATGGGCTGCTAGGGCAGGGAGGGGATGCGAGGAAAGGAGAGAGACAGATGGGAAAACAGAGGAGAGAACGCCAAGAAGAAGGCTGCAGCCGGCAGGGGGTGGAGGAGTGCAGCGCGGCCCCTCCCCCATGGGCTGATGCCTGAGCCTGCTCCCTTCTTTTCATTTAGGGAAGTGGTGGCTGCTCCCTGAGAGTCTAGGAAGGAGGCTGGCAGTCTGGAGAACATGTCAGTGGGGAGGAAAAGGGGGAGAGCGTTGGGGGAACTTTCTTACCTTTGGACCTGTGGGAAAGGAAAGGAAAAAAAGCAGCGGCTTTGGTCATTTGGTTCTGCAGTAAAAAACCTATCTTTTCCCTGGCTAGGGATTTTGTGCCCACACCCCTACTCCAACAAGACCTCTCAGACATGGTCACTCGCTTGACAATCACCCCTTCATTCTCTCAGCAAAGGTACATATTGGAAGTCAATATAAGGTTCAGTGATGTGTCCCTGTGTGCTCAAGGGCTGGCTTAGCCCTCCTGGGTGGAGTGTGACCAGTTAGGAAGTATAGGTTCTTGTCCCAACTCTGTCAGCCTGGAGGTGCTCCATGGTGGCCAACCCTGTCATTCACCTGATTCTTCTGCTTCTGCCTTCATGCCAGCGACCCTGCCAGCCTCCCCATCTGTCGCTGTCTCTGTCACACCCCACATATCTTGGCCCAATCTCTGCTCAGCCTCTCAGAGCTGTTTGTTGTCTCCTGTTTATGACCTTCTGTTCTCAGCTCTTGGCCTTTGCTGGAGCCTCCTGCCACCTGGAAATCTCCCTGGTTCGGCTGTATGTTGTCCTCCTGCAGGAAATCCACGTGGGAGCCAACCAGGCTGCCCAGCTGTGGGTCTGGTGGGCTCCTTCTGCAGCACCCACCTGAGTGCTCCTGCGTGTTCTGAAGGGCCCCGATGGTGGGAATCGCCTGCTACTTCTTAAAGGCTAGGATGATCTTTTGTTCATTTTGAGGGAAGCCAGTGGCATAGCGCCCAAGAGCTGGATTCTGGATTCTGACCCAGCCGAACCTCCATGGCCTTGCCCTGAGCGTGACCTCTAGTTCCCCTGGGCCTTGAGTGTGCGGTGGGAGAAGCATCTACCCTGTTAAGAAACATAGGTATGCTTCTTTTTCTTTTCTTTTTTTTTTTGAGACGGAGTTTCACTCTTTTTGCCCAGGCTGGAGTGCAATGGCACAGTCTCTGCTCACTGCAACCTCCACCTCCCGGGTTTAAGTGAATCTCCTGCCTCAGCCTTGCAGGTAGCTGGGATTACAGGCATGTGCCACCACGCCCGGCTAATATAAGTTTTTTTGTTTTTTTTTTTTTAAATTTCAGTAGAGGCAGAGTTTCTCCATGTTGGTCAGGCTGGTCTCAAACTCCCAACCTCAGGTGATCCACCCGTCTTGGCCTCCAAAAGTGCTGGGGTTACAGGTGTGAAAGCCTGTTTCTTAAACTGTAACATGTTGTACAGAATATAAGGGCTTGTTTTCATTGTGGACACCTACCACCACCTTCATACAAACACACACACACATATGTATTTTTGGCACGCACTGGTTATGGCTGACTGATGGCCCCTGCTTTCACTACTCTCCTCCCTCTTCCAGTTCCCAGCCTCCCAGCCACAGTGCTTACCTGGGTCCATCTTTCTGGGACAAGAGCAGAGAATGACACAAGGAACACCTGTGTTCGACAGGTAACTTTTAGTTTACTGTAATCAAACTCACAGTCTTTCTCTTCTCCCTCCTAGGGATGCACGTGCACACACACACACACCCCCTTCAAAGGATGAAAGGGAAAAAACTGCCTCCTCTGGCTTAGTTTGGCACCAATATAGAGCTGACACCATAGGTGCCAGGCATGGGGGTTAAATGAACACAGTGGGTTCACCTACATGGTGGGTAGATGGAGATACAGCAGCACATGTACCAGCCCCTACACCCCATACTCTTACACTTGCCCCCCTAGACTCACAATTGTGTGTTAATCCGATTTTACTTGAGAAGATTTCAATCTCCATTCAATCACTATTATGTTGTGTGCCAGCCATGTGCCTAGTCATGATACCCCTGTCCCTACAGACTCTTTTCCTATGTAAACACCTGGCATTGGGTGGGAGCCAGAAGCTTGGCATGATCAGTGTGCCCAGAGCAGGGAAGGGGAGGATGGGGTTGGTAGGACAGGAATGGGTTGGTGGCCCCTGAGGGGTCCAGGGGACCCTGTGATTTTTGCCCTGAGGTACAAGCGAATGGAAAACTTCCATGGGGTCCTAGCTGCATGTACCTGTCTCCTCCCATCAGGATTGGAAGGGGGTGGAGCTTGGGGTCTGAGCCAACTTTTCATTCACGAACAAGCCGTGCTGTCATGAGATGGAGCTGCCGAGGTACCCTGGTGCCAAGGCTGGCCATGTCTTGCTTGGGGCTGGCATGCAAGTCACTATGGACAACCCCAGAATGGACCCGGTGAACACACAGTACATGTTTTTTTCAACCCACGGACGGAAGTGTAGTATGTGATGTCAGGAGAAAACACTTGACATCAGGGCTCTCTGGTACTTCGAAGGTTGCTGAGTATACAAGGACAAACAGCCCCTGCAATACAACAACCCCAACCTCTTGCAAGATATGGCCCCCTGAACCTGTTTTTTCTAGGGAGCCTTAGTTCCTCTTTAAAAAAAGTTTTTTTGAGACAGATTCTCGCTTTGTCATCCAGGCTGAGTGTAGTGGCGCAATCGCAGCTCACTGCAGCCTTGACCTCCAGGGTTCAAGCAATCCTCCCACCTTAGCCTTGGAGTAGCTGGGACTATAGGCATGTGCCACCACACCCAGCTAGTTTTAAAAAATTTGTTTTGTGGAGACAAAGTCTCACTATGGTGCCTAGGCTCAATTGATCCTCCCACCCTAGCCTCCCAAAGTGCTGGGATTACAGGCATGAGCCACTGCACCCAGCTTCTTGCACCTCTTGAGCCACCCATTTTCACTGGCTTCTACTTGTACTAAAAATGTTCAGTGGAGGTCAGCCTGTGAACTATACCCTTGGTCCTTTCTGCTCCCTCATCCTTTCCCTTAGTGAGTGATGAGGCTAGAAGAGACCCATGGGGCTGGGCTTTGCAGGAGAAGAGGTAAAGAAAACCTTAGGGCCAGTCACGATCTGGGTAGGACAAAAGAGAAAAGACAGTCCTAAAACTGTATCTCCCCAGTTCAGGACTAGGTGTTTGAGCTGGCAGCTCTGGAAGGGACCTCATGCAATTTCTTCCACTCTCAGCTAAGCCCCCCTGCCTGCCATGGCAAAGACTGTAAATCAATCATAACTGAAGAAGAGAGCAGAGCTGGAGGGGCCCAGCCCAGGAGTGGGGACAGCGCAAATGGACAGACATGCATGCACACAGACACACACCTCCACGCAGAGACATGGAAGCACAGATACCGATTCAATGCATATACACACACAGAGAGACCCTGACCACACGGACACACAACATACCCCACAGAGACTCTACTGTCCCCAGCGAACAGCAAGCAAAGCCAGGTCCCTACCTGAGAGTGCAGAGCAGAGGCAGGAAGTCTGAGGCACTGTCTGTCCTCAGGTGTATTTGTACAGGTCAGGGAGGGGCTGGGATTGACCAGTTGCACTGGGAGGGCCAGGTATAGAAGGCTCAAGAGAATGAAGAGGGATGGGCTAATCCTTATCTGGGCAAAGGACAGTTGAAAGCAGGGTGTGTGTGTGTGTGTGTGTGTGTGTGATGGGGAGGCTGGGGGACAAGCCATTACCAGATTGGTGTGGTAATGAGATGCCACAGAATCCAGGCAGAAGTCTCCAACACTGGCAAGGCTGTTTACACCAGGGACTGGCTCTGGACATTTGTAGAGCTCCTACTGAATGCCAGGCCGGGCACGCAGTGCTTCACACACATTAGTCAACCCACTGACTCCTACAAGTGGGTTGGAGGAAGACATAGTGACCCTAGTAGAGGACCTGGTGGAATCTTTGCTCTGGGTGCCAAGCCCCAGGCATGAATTGTGATGTGCTGCCCAGCCCAGGGAGCTAGCCTGATAATGGAAATCACACACAGAAAAGGGAACTTTTGGGATGGACCTACGCAAGCAGGGAGGGAGCCCAGGCTGCCAGCTGGCTCTGCACTCTGAAAGCCCCTTGTGGTCTGGTCTCCACTGACTCCTGTGGCCTCTGCTGCATGCCACAACTTCTTGCTTGGTGTGCTGTAGCCACAGTAGCCTTCCTTAGTCGCCTGCAGACAGACCCAGTGCCCTTGCTCAGCTCTCCTGTCTCCCTGGGTCCTTATTCCTGATATCTTTTGCTCCCAGTGGGGACTTTGTGCTTCTCAGAGGGCAGGGGCTGTGGTGGCTTTCTTTCTTTTTTGAGACACAGTCTCACTGTGTTGCCCAGGCTGGAGTGCAGTCACACGATCTCACTGCAACCTCTGCGTCTTGGATTCAAGTGATTCTCCTGCATCAGCCAACCCAGGAGCTGGGATTACAGGCATCCACCACCACTCCCAGCTAACTTTTGCATTTTTAGTAGAGACTGGGTTTAGCCATGTTGGCCAGGCTAGTCTTGAACTCCTGACCTCAGGTGATCCACCCACCTTGGCCTTCCAAAGTGCTGGAATTACAGGCATCAGCCACCACACCCAGCCTGTGGTAGCTTTCTTAGTCACCTTTATAGCCCCTCAATTAGAGCAATAAATACAAAGTTAACATAACCACCATCAGGATACAATCTGGAAAATGGAGAGGAGGGAGTGATCCTCCTTTATCTCCATGGTGGGCAGGAAAGTATTTGTGTGCCAGGTTCTCTTATAGTATCAGTTATTTCATATCTGCTCTTGATCTTCCCCTCTTTTACAGACTAAAACATGCCAGTGTTCAGAGACATTAACAAACCTGCTTGAGGTTACCTAGCAAGTATGTGGTTAGTCCCAACTGGGGACTATTTGAGTCTAGAGCCCGGGCCCTTTCTTTACCTTAGGTATTCTCTCCTGTTAGGAATGGTCTTCTGAAAAATTCCAGCCTGCTTTGTTAATATTATTGGTCAAAGGACTTTGGTTTATGACTAGGTGGGAGGTTATTAGTCCCTTCTGCATACATTTGCTGTGAGCCTATGGGGAACCAGCACAGGGCGGGCTACCGGGGTGGGGCGGAAGTCCCCGGGGAGGCTTACGAAGGTGTGGTGCCTGCTAGACTTGGCCCATGCCCACGCTCTGTGAATGTTACCACCGGCATCCACTGCTCACCACCTTCACCAGCCGTCTAAGCCCTACTCTGCCTCATTTTCCCCTTCAGGGATCTTGACACAGCAACCTCTCCACCTCTGCCCCTGGCCTTTGACAGGAAGCTGAAAGAGAGGCCTGTGTCTTCACAGATCCTCAGGAGGGAAGCAGGGGCTGAGAGGAATGCATAGGGGCCCAATGCTCTGGGTTCCAGGTTCAGGGCCTAGGTTCTCCATCTGTGGAATCAGGGTCTGAGCTCCAGTGGGTGCCAATCACAGAACCCACTACGGCAGCAGGTGGGAGGGGTAGTGAGGCCTTGGGTGGTGGCAGTAGGCCCTGTCTTGATGGGGCAGACTGAGAAGACAAGGCAGCCCCAGGAGGCTGAGTGGGCCCAGAGGCCTGCTGGAGGTGAGGAGGGCACTTGCAGCAGTGGTGACACATGGGAGTTGATCTGTAGCAGGGTGTACGTGCTCATGGACTGTTCCCCTACCCAGTCCTAACATTTTGAGGGCAAGCAGGGCCTTCTCCGTGTGTGTGGCACCCCTACACCTCAGCAGACACTGAGCTTTACAGATGGTAAATGCTCACCAAGTGCTTGGGTTTATTGCCTGGCTGACAGCGGTGGCACTTCCCTGCCAGAAAGCCACAGAGTGAAGAAGGGAGCTCTGTGGAGCAGGAGGAGATACTTCTGGAGTGAGGGGCTGGGATCTGGAAGAAGAGATGGGAAATCAGGGAGAGAAGCTGAAGGGCGTCTCCTGGGGCAGTGGAGGCAATGAGGGGGCTCTGGGAGGATGAGGACACAGTGAAGGCCCTCTCTAGAACCCCCAATACCTATCAGCAGAACCAGGAAGGCCCCCTTGCCTCCTGGGCTGCCTTGCAGGGTGGGGGAAGGAGACAGGACAGCCAGGCGCTGCTTCTTGGATGGACAAGTTTTCCAAGGTATGAGGCCAAAGGTACGCGCTGGAGAGAGTGCTGCAGGGACGGGCCACCAGCTTGGCACAGTGATTCAGAAGCAGTGGGGAGGGCCCTGCCCTAGAGACTCCTGGGCATGTCTCTGACCTTCATCTCCAAAGAGAAACTAATAGCACCTGCCCTGGCTAAGTCACAGGTTGCAGAGCTTGAAGAGATCCAATGGCATCAATTGTGTGAGGCTCTGGCAGCGTTGGACATTGGAGTGCAGGGTGTTACTGTTACCAGTGTGAGTATCAGAGGCTCCCTTGTGCAGCCCTGGGGACCTGCCTGCCGGGACACTTCCCTCGAACCTTTGGCCTCTGGTACCTCAGAGCATTCCACTGACAGCCCACAAGAGGTCCCCTCCCTGCCCCAGCCTCCTGCAACTCCCTCTTCCCCCAGGGCGCCCAGCATCCAGGTGTGCCTAGGACAGAGGCGTGTTCCAGACTCAGGACTTTCAGTGCTAAAACTGACAGTTCCAGGCAAGCACAGGTGTCCAGGCCCGGCATTTTAGCATGCTCTGCACCCTGGTCGCCCCTTCCTGCCTAGCCGCCTCTAGGCCGGGTGAAAGCCCCTGAGCCACACCGCCTAAGGCCACTCCAGAGGCCCGTGCCCTCTTCTCAGTGGCCTGGGCTCTCACACCTCCCTCGGCCTCCTAGTTACCCTTCTCTCCATGCCTCAAAGCCACACTGGACCTTTTTCCTACCCCAGAGATGCTGCCTCAGCCCTATGTAACGAGCCTAGAGAAGAGGTAGAGACTGTCCCATCTGGCCTTCTAGCTTCTGCTGCCTGGTGAGCACCCTTCCTGGAGACATCAGGCCACCCTGTTCTGTGCCTGACTCTGTGAAGACCCCCAGGCCTGAGTGCCTGATGCTGCCTGGGCCGTTTCCCTCTCCACTGCCACACCAGCCATGCCAAGGCTCTGAGTCCTCCTGAACGCTCTCCTGCTCACCTTTTCCCTGAACACCCCTTGCCCTGCCTGGCCCAGATGCCTCCCTCCGGCATCTGGACACAGCCTCCTAACTGCCCCCAACCCTACCCCTGCCCTATGCGACCCACCTGGACCACTCTGGTTTCAGCTTCCTAAACCACAGAGTGGCCTCAGCAGCAGCTGCTGTAAAACTTTCAGCACCTCTGGATGACTCCACCTCCCCAGTCTGCCTTCCACTGCCTCCCCAGTCTGGTCTGTACCTTCCTAACCTAACGTCCTCTTGCAGGTAAAAGCCACAGCCACTCTCCTGCCTCCCAAGACCCTGCTATCTCCTGTGCATTCATGGAATGCCCTCTCTTCCCATTCCCCTGCCTGAGTCTTGCTCATCCCCTTGAAGCTCATCTCCTTCTGGAAAACTCTCTGTTGGCCTGAGCCCTGTGCTAACTGGGCCTCAGGCTAACACAGCCTGGTACTGGCAGGTGCCTCCAAGGTCTTTCCCTGCTGGTTCCTGCATCACCTTGGCTAGGTGAAAAACACAGTAGGTGCTCTGCTCATGGCATGGCATGGGCAAACCCCAAGACAGCAGCACTCAGCCTCTGCTCATGGGAAGCTCTGGGCTGAGGGTCAAGGTGGGGCTTCTGGGAAAACACGTTGGGTCCCCTTTGCACCATGAAGAGATCCAACGTTGGTGCATGAGAACAGAGCACCAACAAAGGGGGACCTCAGGGTCTCAGGTCCATGCCAGTGTTCACCTCCCATTGCTGGGCCTGACGCCAGAAGGTTCAGGATGCCCCAGTCCTGGGTGTCGAGGAGTGTGTCCTTGCTCCAGCTTACCTTCTGCTTCTGATGCCTCAAAGGACTTCAGTCTCCCCACCCTGCTCTGGCATGTGTGTTTTTCAAAAGGTGTGGCCCAGACTTCGTCCCTGGCAGCTGGAGCCTGCCCAGGGCTGGTCCCTCCAGCCCCACCTTGTGCATTCTGAGTTCTCCCCACCCAGGACTAGGCCTGGCCTGACCAGACCTCGAGTTCTGGGAGCCAGGACATCAGTTTCTTGAGACAAGCATGGCCATGGTGGGGCAGGGAGGAAGGATGGGTTTGCAGGAAGGGAACATTGTGCTTTAAGCTACTCTCTGGCCCCTTTCCATCTGGAGGGACCCCTGCCTAGTAGCTGGGCTCTCATGTAGTCCAGCCTGGCTCACTCTTCCTCAATACTCACCCACACGCCCAGGGCTAGCAAGCGGCACCAGTGACCTCTAAGGGCTGGGCCCCCCACCAAGAATGGTTCCCGAGCATTGGTATGTGAGCCTGGAACTGGGCCTGGGGGGATCCAGAGGCAGGTAGAGTGCAGGGACTACTCCAGAAGCACCAGTGCTGGCTGGGGAGAGACGGCAGCCAGGGCCTGGAACTTGGGGATAGGGAGGGACAGGGAGGACTCCCTGGAGGGGTTGTGCTGGGCAGGAGACCTAAGGGGAGGTGGCTGAGGCAGTGCCTCAGGATCTTCTCCACCTAGTCACAAATGGTCCACATAACCCAGAAGTTTTAATGTGTTCAGACCATAGCAGGCTGGTGAGAGGCAGCCTTTGGGTCCCTCAAAGAATGCTGGGGAGGTAGCATCCAGGAGGCAGCCATCAGGAAGTTACCTTAGGCAAGAAAACTGTTTTGAGCCTTACTCTGGGTACGCTTTGTTCCAGATATGGAAGGTTACCCATGTTACTTCCTCTCCAGATGATTTTGTGAAGCAGGTACACCTCATTTTATAGATGAGGGCCAGAGAGAGAAGGGACACAACCAGTAGGGGGTGAAGTTCATCTGGAATCCACCCCCCCCAACCATCTTCTGGCAAGGCTAAGGAAAAGGGCAGGGGCCAGCTTGCTTAAGTTTCATTGATCCAGCTGCAGGGGCAGCATTCTGGACACAGAATGAGGTCTGAGCAGTGCGGCCCTTGTGGGTGGAGCCTCTGCTGGGTCTGTGCTCCCAGGGGCAGGGTGTCTCTGTGAGTGGCTCAGAGGGTCTTTCCTCCCCTGCAGACTCCTTCCCCCTTTCTCCTCAGTGAGAATCCCGACTTGCAGCCATCTCAGCCTTAGTGCTGGCCCTAGTTCTGTGCTCTGAGGATCATGATTACGGTCCAGATATGGTCAATACCTTCCGGACCTCAGGGGGTATTGCCTGAGCCAGCAGGTGGCCTTGGAGGGTGGGGGACCACAAGGAAGAGCCTGTGCCCACGGTGCTGGGATACGCGACCCAACCCTGGGTGGAGAGAGGGAGGGTACAGAGGACAGGATCAGCAGAACGGCGTTGGTGGGCAGCCAGTGAAGGTGCCCTGGGCAGGAGGCAGGGCCCAGGCGTGTGGTCTCAATGGCATCAGAGACAGGGTGTGCCACCTGGGCAGAGGGTACCACCTCTTTGGGCTTCAGCTTCCTCATCAATAAAATAAGTCTTCTACAACTGGATGGCTAATCTAGTCTGATGGAGTTGGGAGGTGGAAGTTACAGGGACTTGGGGGAGGCCCTGGGGAACAACAGAGAAGGGGAACTGCCTTCCTCACCCAGAACCAGGCTGTTGCAGCTCTGCTGCCCCTTAGTGGTGACACAGAGAAACAGACACAGTCTCAGGGGCATGGTAAGCTGATCCTCCTCTGTCTCCCCTGCTTCCTTTGGGCTTCTCTCCAGGACAGAGGCAGGCACTCTTAGGGTGTCTTTACCACCCACTGGCTCCCTCAGGGCTGTATGCATTCTAGGTGGACAGAAAGGCAGTCCCAGCCTATGCACAGGTTACCCACAGCTATGCACAGGATGGCAAGCACAATTCACGCACAACGTCTTCATTCTGTAAGTGCTGATGGAGGTTCTTTAGTATGCAGGGGCATTGTGCCAGGCACTGGGGATCCAGAGGCACTTGGCACATCATTCTTGCCCTCAGAGAGCCTCTGTCCAATGGAGAGCAGACAGGCCAACCACAGACTCTGAGAAAAGCGAGAGACTGTGGGGGCTGCTCAGAGGTGTGATGTCTTGTGTGAATAACACTGGGAAACACACGGCCAGCAGCTGAGGGTCCCCTCTATGACTGTTGGTTTGTCCTGGGCACGTACCCCTCCAGCCTGACAGACCAGGAGGCTTTTGCCCTAGGTTAGGTGCGTGTGTCCCTGCAGGCCCCTGCAGAAGAGCTGAGTGGCCATTCCCATAGGTGATGAGCCTGTGCCCATGCCTCTATTCCCCTGCTGCCCTTCTGCCTGCACCTTGGCTGGGAATCGGGGAGAGGGATACACAGAACTTGCCTTGTCCCTGTAGCTTCCCCCATCTACGCGCCTCCTCTGCACACCTGGTCCGGGCCTGAGTTCCGAAGAGGGTGGAGAGCATTAGTTCCCCCTCCCCAGCCAGTGCTCAGTGGGCTTCCCAGCTCCAACAATACAGTGCAGGGCAGGCGGAGGGAAGCTTGAGGCTGCTTGAGGCTTCTGAAGCCTCCTGAGACTGGCCTGGAACTCAGTCGACTGTGTGGGGCAGGACACAGAAGGGGTGGGAGAAGGAGAGAGAATGTGTGTGCGTTTGTGTGTGCAAGAGGCCTGGGAAGCAGAGCCTGGGTGCGTCATGGTTGCTGGGAGAGTTGACGAGTCTGACTCAGTGGGGACATCCGGCAGGAAAGGAAGGGAGAGCACAGTGGCATTTGCAAGCAGGATGGGAACTCTGGGGTGGTGGAGATGGGGTGTGGGGCCAGGGGTGCCATGCGAAGGCCTGGACAGGAAGGGGCTGAGCCGGCCGGGGCGGGGGGGGGGGGGGGGGGGGGGGGAGTGGGAAGGAAAGGCAGTTCTGGAGGGGTGGAGGTTGGACCTCTGGCTGCCTGGGTGGGTCTGGGAGGAGAAAGAAGCCAGCAGGGGTTCCTGCTCTGAAGACAGAAGGGACAATTGTGGCATTCGGGAAACTGGCCTGGTTAATCAGGGGTATGGGGAATGCAGGGGCTTCTGATTCTCACCTGAGGGGCTGGAGGTCAGGGCCTTGGTGCTGTGGAAACAGACTCCATGAATTCCCACTCCAGAGAGACCACCCTCCTCTCAGCACCCCCAAGCCTTGAGTCCCAGAGGCTCTAGGGTGGCCCTGCTAGGCAGCTTGTCCCCCTGGGCACGGATACCAGCCTCAGCTGTATGAGGAAGATATGCGGAGGAACTCTCCTGAGAAGGGCTGATTACTTTGCTGGGTTCAGAGAGGCTGAAAAAGCCAGTCTTGGAGAGCAAGGCCAGGAAGGGCCTAGAGTTAGGGCCCGAAGGAGGAAGGCTATTGACCAGCTCTGAGCTGTCACGGCAAGGGCCCTGGAGGAAGGCCTGGCTTGTCATACCAAAGGGCGAGAGATGCAAACAACTGAGCCCCCTGGGAGTGGCTGTGCTTTAAAACATAATCATTTGCCTCCTAATGCCAGGGCTGTGTTCTGAGAAACATGTTAGGTGATTTTGTCATCGTGCGAATACCACAGAGTTCACTGCCACAAACCTAGACGGCATAGCCTGCTACACACCCAGGCTAGATGGTGTAGCCATTGCTCCTAGGCTACAAACCTGTACAGCAGGTTACCGTACTGCATACTGTAGGCAGCTGTATCACAGTGCTAAGTGTTTACATATCTAAACACAGAAAAGGTATAATAAAGATATGGTGGAAAAGACTGAAAACGGCACACCTGTATAGGGCACTTGCCATGAGTGGAGCCTTCAGGACTGGAAGTTGCTCTGGTGAATCACTGAGTGAGTGGTGAGTGAATCTGAGGCCTAGGACATTACCGTCTGCTACTCTAGGCTTTATAAACACTGTACACTTAGGTTAGACTGAATTTTTAAGAATGGTTTTTTGGTCAGGCACGGTGGCTCATGCCTGTTATCCTAGCACATTGAGAGGCCAAGGCAGGAGGATCACTTGAGTCCACGTGTTCAAGACCAGCCTGTGCAACATAGCAAGACCCTCTCTACAAAAATTTAAAAAATTAGCTGGACATGATGGCATGAGTATGTAGTCCAAGCTACTCAAGAGGCTGAGGCAGGAAGATCCCTTGAGCCCAGGAGGCTGAGGCTGCAGTGAGCTCTGATCATGTCACTGCTCTCTGGCCTGGGTGACAGAGTGAGACCCTGTCTCAAAAAATGAAAAATTTAAAAAAAAATTCTTTCTTCAATAACGTTAATCTTAGCTTATTGTAACTTTTATAGTTTATAAACCTTTTAATTTTTAAAAACTTTTTGACTCTCGGTAATAACACTTAGATTAAAACACAAATAACTTATACAGCTGTACAAAAATATTTTCTTTTTGTATCCTTATTCTATGTTTTTTTCTATTTTGAAACTTTTTAACTTTATACACTTTTTTGGTAAAAACTAACACACACACCTTAGCCTAGGTCTACACAGGGTCAGAACCACCAACATCACTGTCTTCCACCTTCCATCTAGTCCCACTGGAAGGTTTTCAGAGGCAGTAACAGGGCTACAGCTGTCACCTCCTGTGATAACAATGCCTTCTTCTGGAATTCCTCCTGAAGGACCTGCCTGAGGCTGTTTTACAGTACTTTTTTTTTTTGTAACTAGAATAAATATCCTCTAAAGTAATGATAAAAAGTATAGTAAATATACAGGCCAGTAACATAATGTTTAATTATCAAGTATTCTGTACTGTGCATACTTGTATGCGCCATACTTCTGTACGACTGGCAGTGCAATACCTCTGTTTACACCAGCATCCCCATAAGCACATGAGTAGTACCCTGTGCTATGACATTATGATGGCTACAATGTCACTAGGCGATAGGAATTTTTAGCTCTATTGTAATCTTATGGGACCACCATCAACTATGTGGTCCATTGTTGAGTGAAATGTTGTTATATGGTATATGACTGCACAGAGAAGACAATGTCCAACATAAAAGAATGAATGGCTAGTGTTGTCATTTTAGGCATGTGGTGGTAGTACTTGGTGGTCTAGGGGAAGTGAGCTTCTTGATCCCTGTGAATTACTTGAACCAAGGCTGATGAGGCGAAGGACCAGGAGAGGGGAGGCGCGTTTGTGTGCTGCAAGCCTGTATCTACTTGTGGGAGACACAGAGGCCTATGCTGGCTGCCCATCTTGTCTGCAGGCCAGCCCAGGCTGGGTTCCTGCTGGGGCTGGGGCAGCCAGGCCTCCTATGTGGGGTTGACCCACCAGGGAGAAGTCCCTGCCAGTCTGTCTGGGGACGCTGGGGCGGGGCAGGGAGAGGTGCTAGGCAGGACCAGCCAGCTGCCAGTGCCCTGGTCCTCGCCCTCTGAGAGTGGAAGGGTGGGGGTGGCGGCCCAGCGTTCCTGGCTGGGAGCCCAGAGGAGTCTTTTGTAATCACAACATGATCTCGTGTGCTGAGCAGCGAAGCCGGCAGGGAGAGGCCAGCAAAGGCCCGACTCCGGTGGCTCCAGCTTCCCTCCCACTCTGGCTCCCCAGGGGCTGCTCTGGAATTCTCTCGGTGCCCGCTGTTGCCATGCACTCGGCTGTGAGTGGCACCCTGCCTTTGGCAGGGGGCTTCTTGGGACTGGGAGGGGGCTGGGATACCAGGCAGCCACCCTTTGGGGGCAGCTGGGGACAGCTGGGGCTGGGGGGAAGAGTCCTGTGACTAGATGGGTCGAGGGCAGGCCACAACAGAGACCCTGCAGGCAGACAGGGAGGAACCTGGAATCTCGAAGCAGAGACATGGCTTGCCCAGGGCGACTCAGGGCTGGGGCCGCCAGGGGAGCTGGCTCTCTCCGCCCCGACTGCCAGCAGCTTTCAGCCTGAAGAGGCTGGGCCCGTGGGAGCGGCTCTTTCCTCCAGGCTGGGCACAGGCCTGGGTGTGGGGTCCAGGGCTTGAGAGCCCAGGATGGAGCCAGGGCCTCTCCTTTTTCTGTGGTTGTGAATCTGGGAGCCTAACAGCTCCCCCCTCGACCTCCCGAATCCTCTGGCAGCTTCCCAGTCACGGCAGGTTCCGCTGCCAGAGCCATTTATAACTCCCATTCCAGGCTCTGCTCCGCAGTGAAGCTCCCTGGAGAGCTGGGGGAGGGGCAGCCCACTGCTGGGAGCTGTGGCTCCGGGTATGAGGCCCTGACCTGAGCCCCTCAGGAGGCAGGGACAGGCAGACAGGCCTAGCTGAAATGGGGGCTTGGGGCCTTCATTGGGCCATCTGCCTGAGCAATGCACTTCCTTCCTGGGTGACCTTAGCTGTGGGTCTGGGATCTGTTCTTTGGGTGGTAAAAATGTGAAAGCTGGGGACTGGAGGTGGGGATCCAGAAGTCAGCAGCTTGGGGTCCCTGCTTCTGCAGGGGCCTCCCAGAGCCGAGTCCCCCATGCGCAGGCAGGAGAAGGACGCAGAGCTGGATCGGAGGATAGTTGCCCTGCGCAAGAAGAACCAGGCCTTGCTCCGCAGGTACCAGGTGAGTGGGCTGCCACAGGGCCAGGAGGACCCGCTTGGCTGCCACTCCTTGGTTGTCCAACACGTGGTGGTCTTTCCCTGAGAGCCCAGGAATGCCTCTCTGGGCCTGGGGCTAGGGGTAGGGTGGGCATGGTCCCTCTCAGAGGCTTGGTCAGGGTCCTGGGGATGTGTGATGTGGCGCCTCTGCCCCCTGGTGTCCCACTGGTGTCTCTCTGTGTAGGCCTGTCAGCGTCTATGTCTCTGTGCATCTGGGGGGCTGTGGCGTGTGCTGACCCCGGGCCCTCCCACAGGAGATCCAGGAGGACCGTCGGCAGGCAGAGCAGGGGGGCATGGCTGTGACCACACCGGCGCTCCTCCAGCCCGACGGCCTCACGGTCACCATCAGCCAGGTTCCTGGTGTAAGCCTCACCCTGGGAGACAAGGCGCGTGGTGAGGAGGTGGAGGGCCAGACCGTGTCGGGGGAAGACAGCTGCCTCTGTTCCCCTCTCCCACTAACTGTTCCAGGGTGCATCCACCAGCTCCCAACCTCCTGCAACCTGGCCACTGCTGTCCCCACCAAAGAGCCACAGCTGAAATCCCCCCTGCCCCCAGTAGAAGCCTCCTCATACCCTTTTCTAGCCCACAGCTCTGCACCTATGCAGCAAAACACACTCCTAAACCTCAAGCCCCAGGAGTAAAAACCCTGCAGGAAGTGGGGGACAGAGAAGTTGGGGCTGAATGCCAGGAGCAGTGTCTGAGGGACAGAGATGCATTGTCTCAGTGCTCTGGGTTTCCCAGCTCAGCGATGACGGGCCACTGTGGCATCTTGGCCCTCTGAGTGGCCCTGGGCCCTGGATAACCTCATGCCATTGGCATGTGAACACCCTGTGGGAGTCAGCTCCTCTGTGGGCATTGCAGGGAGGGCTGGGGTTGGAACCCAGGCCTGGGGAACCACCGAGAGGACCCAGCACCTAGGTCCTGTCCAGCACTGTACATGTGGCCTGAGGGTCTTTGTTCTGCAGGAAAGGCGGGTGGTTAGCAGGAACTGGACAAGGGGCACCTGCAGACTCAGAGTGGCCAATGAGATGCTTGAGGATGAGGACACAGAAGACTATGGTGGTACTTTCTGCTTAGGGGAGCGGGTAGAGCTGGCCGTGACCATGGAGAACAAAGCAGAGGTGAGCAGGGTGGGCGGGGAGTTGCAGGCATCAGTGGGCAGCCTCTTCTTCCCTGGCTCTGCTGCACTGCTCATCTTCACCCTCCCCAGGCCAAACGGATTGTAAGTGAAAAGCCTACTAGAGCAAGGAACCAGGTCACAGAGGGGTCACCTGGAGGGCGTGTGGCCCGGAGTCCCCCCATGCAGGTGGCCATCAGCTCGGACTCTGCAAGGAAGGTGCGCCTTCAGAGGGGATGGGGACGTGGATCTGAAGGTCCTCACTTGGGGGAGGCAGAGAAGCTGAGTCAGATATGTCCCTCCTTTGCGGGGACGTGGCCGAGGCAGCACCTACAGGAGTTCCTGCTCCTCCTTCCTTTCTCTGGCCAGTCTCTACTTTGATTGGGCCTTGAAGTGGGAGACAGTTTAAGCCAGAGACGTGATCCAGCCTCCTCCCCTATCTAGCCCCTCTGGTGGGAGAGGAGCAGGGGAGGGGGCAGGAGGGTGGAGGTGACTGGCCAAGTGCCAGGTGTGACCTCTAGGTGGCAGCACCCCCTAGTCCTTGCCCTTGCTCACAGCCTTCAGGGCCCCTCCCACTCCGGCCTGTCTGCACACTCCTGCAACAGCCCTGTGGGCTGGTGCTATGGAGAGCCCTATTTTACAGATTAGGAAATGAGACACCAGTTAAATCATTTGCTTAAAACACACAGCTAACAAGTAGATGGAAACCATTTCCATGAGAGAGCTGGAACAAATCTAATTTTTAGCAGGGGATGTGAAAACCTTCAGAGAGGAAACATCTGGAGTCTCCAGACCCCACTCCAAGCCTCTTCCTGCCTTTTTCCCCCTCCACCCCTGCCTGCTGAGTGTCTTCTCCCTGCAGGGTGTTCAGGAGCCCCAGAGCCAGCCTGTGGGGGAACCCCCGGAGGTGGGCTGGGACTATGCCCAGTGGAAGCAGGAGCGGGAGCAGATCGACCTAGCCCGCCTTGCTCGGCACAGAGATGCACAGGGTGACTGGCGCCGCCCGTGGGACCTGGACAAGGCCAAGCCCACGTGGGTGGCCGGGCTGGGCAGCTTGCTGGGCTGGTGTCCTTGTGGTGCCGGGGTGGAGCTTGGAGGGCTGCAGGGACCCTCCTTGGGGTGAAGAGGACCTTGCTGGGGCTCTCTGGTCAGGCCCAGGATTCAAGGCTCTGTGTGCGCACTGGGTCTCCCATCTTTCTTGGGCCTACCATCTCCCTGCTGCCTTCAATTCTGGGACTGGGCTTGGAGGAAGTGGTGTCAGGGTGGGGCCCACAGTAGCTTCTGTGCACTAGCAACCTGACTCCCTTGTCTGTCTACACAGGCTACAGGACTGCAGCCAGCTGAGGGAAGAAGGCCTGGCCAGGGCGGGCAGCAGAAGGGGTAAGCCCACACCCACTTCGTCCCTCCCCTTCTTGGCTTTGTTCATCTTTTACCCCCTTATCCTCTCTTTTCTCTATCTCTTAGTTTCCTACTTATTTTCAGAGCTGAAAGGAAGCCTTGGAGAACATCTTCCTTCCTCTCCCTTGCTATCAGAGGAGGGCACCAAGACCTCCCATCCTCCCCTCTGAGCCCACAGCTCTTGTCCAGGTTCTGACCAGAAGGCCCCAGAAGGAGGCTCAGTGGAAGCCTGCCTTGGGGTCTCTTCGAGGTCCTGGTCCCTACTGGGTGAAAGTCCTGGTGGTCCTGCCCCGGGCCTTCTGTAGAAACAGCTCTGTGGATTTCTGGTCTCCTTGTTTTATATATAAAGAAGCTGTGGCCTGAGAGTTGGGGCCAGACACCCAGCCATGGAGTGGCAAAGCTGACACAGGACCTGACTCTTCTGACCCCTAGGCCAGGGTGCTTTTGGGTAGGCAAAACCCATGACTGGCCCCGAGGACTGACAGCTTCCTGAGGCTGGAAGATTTGGTGTTCCTGTTTTGGATCTTTTGTCACCCCACCTTTCCCCACTTCCTTTGTCCCCTGCAGGTCCCAGGAGCCACCGGAAACTACAGCCCCCACCATTGCTCCCTGATGGAAAAAGTGAGTTGGGGAGGAGGAGGGTCTGGGTCCCGTCAGCTAAAGAAGGAGCGGCTGCTATGGGCCTCTTCTCTCTTTGGATTGTGGACCATCTCTTGCAGGTCGGGGCAGGCAACCCAGCAGATCCTTGGTGGCACCAGCTGCAGGCAGCAAAGTCCGGGGCAAGGAGAGGCTGACTGGCAGGGCCCGAAGGTAACAGGTGGCAGGGGACAAAATCAAGGCGGGCATCTGGGTGTCCCAATTTCCTGGACCAGCACAGGCCCAGGTGCCAGCTTTGTCCCTGGGGCCCCTACCTCCTGGCTGACTGCTGCCTGGCGACAGGTTAATGAGATGCTGGGAGAGGCCATCAGCAAAGGCAGGAGAGAGAGCCTGGTGCTCAGGGAGGCCAGTGGTAATTACAGCAGCTCCCTTCCCCTGGGAAGTGAGGTGTGCCTTTCCCAGGCAGTGCAGGCAGGGACATGCCTGGAGTCCCCACAGAACTCAAGGTGCTGCAGGCTTGGCCATAAACAGCAGCTGGGGGCCCAGGATGGGGCCAGAGTGGGTGGCATTCAGGGGAAATAGTTGGATTTAGGGAACAACATCAGGCTTGGGAGGGGGAAGGATCCTGGAGCCACATTCTGGCTCTGATCCCAGTCTGAGACCCTTGGGATTTGGCTTATCCCAGGGGTTTCTTTTGGGAGGAGGTGGTGGTCGAGAGGAAGTGGAGGCCCAGAGAGGGTAGAGGTTCAGAGGAGGTGGAGGCCCCTTGTCTCTTGTCCTGCCATGGCTACTGCTCTCTGCTGAGGGCTATGGGGCTCTTGGGAGAGTCTGGATCACCCCTGGGATTTCTCCACTGCCCAATGAGAGACATAAACCATGGGATCCCAGCTCAGCTGTCCTTACTGGCTCTCAACTCTACCCCACCCCTCTATTCAGGCAGGTGGACATGGGCCGCCGGCTCTGGAGTGAAGTGGGGTAGGGTGTACCATTGCGCTTTGTTTCTACAGGTGGGATGTGAAGGAAGACAAGGAGGAGCTGGAGAGTCAGGAGGTAGGTACTTGAGTATAGGATGGGGCAGGCTGGGGACGTGAGCCCTGCATTCACCAGCCACTGGGGGTGTTCTCTTGTTTTAGGGAAGCCAAAGCACCAGAGAGACTCCCAGTGAGGAGGAGCAAGCACAGAAGCAGAGTGGGATGGAGCCGGGCCATCTGGGGAGCACCCCTGCAGCCAGCCGAGCCCTGGCATCCCCAGAGGGGCCAAAGGGGGAGTCAGCAGCTTCCACAGCTGGCTCAGTGCCCTGCTCTCCACAGGAGCCTGACTTGGCTCCTCTTGACCTTTCTGTAGGAGGGGCTGGCATCCCTGGGCCTAAGGAGGGCACGTGTTTGCTCAATCCGAGGCCTGAGGCCCAGGAGAGCCCTGTGTCTTGGCCAGATGGCTCTGAGCAGCAGCCCCTGGGGTGGAATAATCACCAGGCTGAGCTGGAAGTCCAGACTTGCCCTGAGCCACAGAAAGGAGCAGGGCCTCCAGAGCCCAGAGAAGACAGGTCTGGTAAGGCTGGGGCCCAGCAGGGCCTGGCACAGAGAAGCTGGCCCCTGAGAGGAGGCAGCCAAAGGCTGAGAGGCACAGCAGGTGTGAGGCGCAGGACAGGGCGCCCTGGTCCTGCAGGAAGGTGCTGAACACAGCTCCTGGGAGCTGGGGAAGCTGGGGGGAGGGAGAAGAAAAGGGAAGCACTCCATTAGGAGCCCTCCATGTGATGGCCATGTGGTTGCTGTGGCTTGTGCCAGTGTCACTGAGCAGTGTGGCAAACTCGCCAGCATGACCACCTTGTGAGGGCAAGGAGTGGCCTCCCTGCAGCTCACACATTCATCCCTGTGCACATGTGTGTTTTCACTTGTGGGCACAGCCCCTGGTGTATTCCTATACTGGTGCCTGGCATCTGAGGTTAGTGCACCCTGACCTGGGCCTACTGCTGCTCAGGCCACAAGCCTTTTCCACCATAACGAGAGAACAAGGCTTAGTGGCACCTACCACCTGGCTCTCCATCACCCCTCAGGGCCTGGACTCCCCTTCCAGCTGCTGGCTTCCACTTCTAGCCTGGGCTGGAATCCCCCAGTCCCAGATTCCCAGGATGCCCAACCAGGGAAATCCTGAGGCATGGAGGACGGGAGGCCACACAGCTGGCAAGGTCTGGCCTGGGCAAAGAAGAGCAGAGCTCATGTCTTTTCAGTGAAAAGGAGGATCTCTGGAAAGTCTTCCTCTCTGAAATGGGGTGGGATGGGGAGGGACAACCTCCTGTCCCCACAGCAGGATGGGAGAGCTCACTCCCAGGCCCCCACACCCAGGTCAGACATCACGTGCACCCTGAACAGAGGCAAGGGCCTGGCCCCGCAGCCTAGGGTCATTTCCTGCTCTCTCCACTTCCTTTCCCCACCGCCCTGCACTAGCACCAGGGCCAGGCAAAGGCAAGAATCAGACAGGGACTCCACAGACAGAGAACAACTTCCAGTTAAGTATGACATCAGGACTTGTCTTTCCTACTAAGCCTCCATCCCCACCCCTCCCCTGAGGCCCACGTCTGCTGAATTATCCGGACTCCGCACAAGCTGTGGCTTCCTCTCAGTTCAACAAACATTTCCTGAGCACCCACTACCAGTAATCCAGCCGGTAGGCGATGGAGACTGCCAGCAGGAGGGAGGGAAGAAACCCAGTCATCTGGCAGATCTGTGCTGTTCTGGGTGGGAGCTGGGGGCAGGATGGTGGTAGGAGCTCTAGGGGACCCTCCCACCTCTGCCTGGCAGAAGCAGTGCCTTCTTTCTTGTTACGTGTGCCTTCTGCTCCCGAGCCCTGGTCTGGACCTCACCGCGTGGTCCCCTCTGCTCCCTCCTCTCTGGTCCTGCCATGGCCGCCTCTCTCTGCTAAGGGCTGTGGAGCTCTAGGGAGTATCAGGGTCACCCTGAGATTTCTCCACTGTCCAATGTGAGGCCTAAACTGTGGGGTCCCAGCTCAGCCTTCCTCACTGGCTCTCAACTCCACCCCAGCCCTCTATTCAGGAAGGTGAGGCATGTCTCTTCAGCAGACCAGACTGTTTTGAGAAGTGCTTCTCAGGCTGGGCGTGGTGGTTCATGCCTGTAAGCACTTTGGGACGCTGAGGCGGGCAGATCATGAGGTCAAGAGATCAAGACCACCCTGGCCAACATAGTGAAACGCCATCTTAAAAAAAAAAAAAAAAAAAAGGCCGGGCACGGTGGCTCAAGCCTGTAATCCCAGCACTTTGGGAGGCCGAGGCGGGTGGATCACGAGGTCAAGAGATCGAGACCATCCTGGTCAACATGGTGAAACCCCGTCTCTACCAAAAATACAAAAAATTAGCTGGGCATGGTGGCGCGTGCCTGTAATCCCAGCTACTCAGGAGGCTGAGGCAGGAGAATTGCCTGAACCCAGGAGACGGAGGTTGCGGTGAGCCGAGATCGCGCCATTGCACTCCAGCCTGGGTAAAAAGAGCGAAACTCCGTCTCAAAAAAAAAAAGTGCTTCTCATACTTTAACTGAAGAGTCGTCAGATTTCAATGGCCTGGGGAGGGTTTAGGGTCTCGCTGTATCACCTAGACTGGATACAATCCAGTGGTGCCATCATGGTTCACTGCAGCCTCGAACCCTTCACTCAGGCAATCCTCTCACCTCAGCCTCCTAAGTAGCTGGGACTACAGGCATGCCACCGTGCCTGGCTAACTTTTGTGTTTTTTGTAGAAGCAGGGTTTCACCGTGATGCCCAGGCTGGTCTCCAACTCCTGGGCTCAAGTGATCCTCTTGCCTTGGCCTCTTAAACTGTTGGGATTACAGGTGTGGAGCCACCATGCCTGGCAGAGAATTCATATATATATATGTGTGTATTTTTCCTCTGGATTCGTCTGAAGCAGAGAGAATTCATATTTCTAAGAGGCTTCAGATGAACCCCATGGTGGTTCCTGGACCATGCTTTTTAGTAGTAAGGGTTTGCACTAGAATATATGGAGGGCTGGGGGTGAAGAGACTCTAGACTGTAAGAGTTGGTGGCTATGTAGGGGAGGGTGGAGTGCTACCCCTGTCAGGTGGTGGGGGCTTCCTGGCTTCAGAGTTGGGTGGGAGACTTGGGGAAGATGCTTTGGAAGGCAGTGAGTGGGTGGTGTCAACTTCTGTTAGTGCAGTGGGAGAGCTGGTCAGGGAGGGGACAACGTGAAGCGGGCAGAGGCGGTTGGTGTGGGGTTGATCAGAGGAATTTTGGAAAGGCTTGGAAACATCCTAAGCATGTGAGACACGTCTATGCCAGGGCGAAGACTCCGAGCTCAAGTTTTTCTCTTGCCTTCTAGTCACAGGAACATGGCTTTGGAGTGTGACACTTGCCTAGGAATCCATGACTCCCAAAGGATGAGGCTAGGGGTAGAGGAGGTTCAGGCAGAGCCCTTGGATTTTGGAGACACCAGGCAGATGTCTCCAAAAAGTATTGTGATCAAGAATCTGAATTATAAGATTCACAATCTGCTCCCCAACCCAGTGCTGCCAACTGTACAGCTCTGTCTTCACAAGGGGCATACGCTAGGCTCGTCTGACCCTGGTGAGGATGCAGGAAGTAGGCAGGGCCCTGGTTCAGCCCTCACAATGGCACTGAAGCAGGAGAGAAGGCTGTGGGGAAGTAGGGCTTGTCTCCAGAAGGATGTCAGGAGGAGGGATGTCACAGGAGTTACAGGCGTTGGCAGGAATGCAGACTGGCACAGGACCTCGCAGGAAGATGGTAGTGTAGGCAGGTAACATAGAGCTCTTCTCATAAAAAGAGAGCTCTTCTGCAGTATAAGGGAAGTGGTAGTTATGGTGGTAACCCCCGGCTATCTGTCCAGGTGGGTGCCACCCCTCCTGCTCTAGGAGGGAAGCAGGCATGGAGCAGGAGGGAGGTGCAGTGAGACACCCCTCCACGGACCATGGCATCATGGGAAGCTGGTTCTACCTCTTCCTGACTGCTTTGTTTAAAGACCTGGCTGGGAGCCTTCCTTTTGGGTACACTTCTCTTCTCCAACCAACAGACAAGACTACTCTTCAAAGGTCAAACGTCTTCATGAAACACAGCTGCCAGAAGCCCAGGCACAGGGCTGGGGGCCTGGAGAAAGGAGGGTACACAGGAGGAGGGAGGAGCCTGTAGGGAGATGTGCTTCACCTAAGGTCTCAAAACAAGGAGGGCAGAATAGGTAGAGGCCTCTCCGTCCCAAGTCCATCATTTTTGACAGATGGTGGGAAGGAAATGAAACAGACCAGCCTGCAAGAAAGACATGTGTTTTGATGACAGGCAGTATGGCCAGGTGGTACAAGCACAGGCCTTTGAATCCGACGGACTGAATCTGAACCCAAGGCCGCTGTCAACCGGGTGACCTGGGTCAATTTTAGCCTCTAAATGCCTCAGTCTCCTTATCTGCAAAATGAGGCTTGTGATACCTACTTTGAAGGGTTCTGAGAAAATTAAAGATAAGAGTCTGCAAAATAGTCTACAGCCATACCACCCTGAACACGCCCGATCCATCTGATCTTGGAAGCTAAGCAGGGTCGAGACTTGTTAGTACTTGGATGGGAAGAGTATGCAAAATATACCTGCCCGCAGTTGGACTCTCTCTTAACAGTAGCCTGGTACACAGAAGGCACTCAGTAAATATTTGTTGAATAAATGAAGTAGTGATTTGGTGTGATCTCTGTCTACTTTGTTTTCTATCTTTTCTTTAGCTTCTCTTCTAGCCTCATCTTTGCTGGGGGTGGGAGTCAGCGTATTTTCTGGGAATCAAGGAATGGTCTATAAAGTTTATCTGGCCCTCCAGGCAAGCTTCCTTCAGTCTCATGGGGTGGGGGGGAGGGTCCAGTGGAGTCTCAGCCTCGAGCAGTGCCCCTGCTTTACCAAGGAGTATTCTTCGACCTTCCCCACTGACTCCATCCCACTTAACCCTTCACCCTGCCACAGCTCACAGGGGTTCTTCCTCTCTTCTGTCTACCTCAGTAGAAATCTCACACACACCACAGTTTTTTGCTTATTTTCCCCAGAAACAAACCCTCTTGAGGAGTTTGCTGCATGTGTCCCAGAATTGTTTTGTCACCCAAAGGAGCAGCATGACTGGAGTTTGCTAGGGTCAAGGAAGAGGAACTGGGGATCCTTGGAAGCAGGAGAACCTAGCTATCTAATAAGGCACAAGCTTGGAAGGTTGGACCACCAGTCAACTCCAGCCCCAACCCTGTCAGGGACAAGAACCACAGAAAAAGGTGGCACTCACCCCCCAAAAGAACGAGGAACTGTCAAAAATCCAAATACGGCCGTATTTTCTTATCTTAGGGTCTAAATCAAGGGAGGGGCTGAGGGAATAGGAGAACTAAAAATACCATGTCACTTCTGCTCGAGTCACTTATCCATGTCCACATACCCCACACACATCTCTTTCTGAGCAAGGGTTATCAGGGCTCATGAGGAAAGGCTGACGGGTTGACCACAACCCCACCGAAGGAGAACTCGAGGCTGGGAGAGGGAAGGATAGCGGCAAGCAGAAAGCATGGACTGCAGCTGCTTTCTCTCAAGTCTGCTGAGCCTTACGTCACAGCTGCTCATTAAGCACCCACTTGACGCCGGGGAAGTGAAATAGCCCAGACCTGGCACCAGAAAGAACAAATGTGGCACCCACTGCTCCTTTTAAGGACTGGCTCAAGCAGCAGCAGGCCTCAGGGCAGGAGGTGAGGCAAACACAGCAGTACCTTCAGGAGAGGGAGGGGATGGCTCAGGGCTGCCTCCTTCTTAACAAGCTCTCCAGGGCAAGTTCTGCGGCAACTGTCAAAAAATAATGGACAATGCAGCCTTTTTCCCTTTTCTTACAAACACTAGGCACACTGTTTCCTCTTCCCCCAGCAGGGCAGCTGGCTTCAACCAAGAGAAAGGGTCAAAAGGCACCTCAATAACCATCTGTCAAAACAGAAATACCCTACCCATAAGTTACAGTATCAGAGAAAAAGGCTGGGCCAGTGGTTCGGACTTCAGCGTGCATCAGCATCACCTGGAAGGCTGGTTACCACAGAATACTGGGCGTCACTTCCTGCATTTCTTCTTTACTTGGTTTGGGATGTGGCCTAAGCTGTCATGGTTATAACACATTCCCAGGTGACGCTGGTGCCGTTG